ATTATATTCACTTTATCTAGGAGGCACAGTTTATATGGATAGTATTATTTTTTACAATAACAAGCTGGATTGAAAACAAGCAAAATTAAATAAAAGTAACGACTTTCTACTTCTTTCTACTTCTTGCCTTTTAAAAAAATGTAATAAATAGAAAGTACAGATAACTGTGTGAAAATGTAAGAAGTAGAAGTAAAAAGTAGGCTGAAAAATAATTACTAAAGTAATGTATAGATGCCCAAAAATTCTACTTAAGTACAGTAACAAAGTATTTCTACTTAGTTACTTTACAACTCTGTTTCCAAAGCTTCTCAGGTTGACTGCCATTTACACATCTCACACTAAGCTATCTCACACTAAATCAGTTTTATGGGGGTGCCAAAATGTCTACGACTACCGGCCGTGGAAGCTGCTGTGTCTTCAAGAATTATGGCGCATATGGGTTTTTATAACAGGTCATAGAGGAGTCTTGAATCTGGCAGGTTTTACAGAGCTGAAAAGTGAGAGCAATCCCGAGTCATCGTTACACCAAATTGAGCCGCTGATTGCTTCATTTAAATGAACAAAACTAGGAGAATTCCTCGCACCTTCTGGCATCTCAAGAGGTCACGAGAAGAGATGCACGCCCTCAAACATGCCTCGCTACCTGCTGAGATAATCAAATACATGATTTGTGTTCYAGTGGTACACAAACACATTTTAGAGTTTAAAAGATCCCAGCAAGCAGGGATTCACAAAGGTAAATCCTGCTAGGCTTTGAGGATAAAGCAAATGTCAAAATTATTCTGGGGACTTTATTGGTTATAGAAGTTTGTCTTTAAGGAGTCTGGTGCCCTTTCCATACAGTTGTGAAGTGAATAACATCACCCTCCCTGTGTCCCCTTAAAGCAGCTTTCTGCCGCTTCCTCTGTCGTTCTCTGCACTCCAGCCTCTCTGCACTGCCAAGCCAGCGCCTGGCAGGCTTCTCTGCTCACGGTGCATTAGGATGCAAAGCGCTCCTTGTCAAGGGAGAAGGGGAGACTAACAAAAGCGCTTTAGTGTTGCAAAAACAAGCCCATCGGTGCATGCCTGTGAAAAGATCTGTATGTCTGCTCTGACTCCCCCAACTCCCTGCAGCTCCCCGCATCATTCCACAACGCCTCTGAAAAAAAAAAAACAGAGGCTCTCAGGAGAGATGCATCCTTCTCTTCTTTTTGTCATCCCCCTTTTTTTAACCATCCCTCTACCTTTCTTTCCTGTCTTCCCACGCGGCAGGTCCAAATTGCTTTGCTGGAACAACGATCATCCCAGCCGGAATTGAAGTAAAGGTGGACGACTGCACCATCTGCCGCTGCCACAACGGAGACTGGTGGAAGCCAGCGCAGTGCTTTCGGCGGGAGTGCCTCAACGGCCAGTCGTTGTCATAGAGAGACTCCGCTGGGGATGGGGGATAAGCTCAGGCAAGGCTCTGCCTACTGCGCCATTTTGTATGATTGACAGGGCAGGAGCACAATTCTTACAAAAACAAAAAAAAATAACAAAAACAAAAAGGAAGACAGTTTCGAATTGGAGAGATGTTCTCACAAGCTTCACACAGATACAAATTTAGCCAGAGAGAAGACGATGGAACTTGTCTTACGGCTGTTTCCACCCTGCAGTTTTACTCGCCCTATATATTTTCAAAAGTTGACTCGCTGCTTTCACTCGGAAAGTTTCTAAGCTCCTTGAACTCTTTCCAAACCACTGGCAATGTTCCGTTGCCCAAGTCRATTTCTGTATGTATGTCATCAGCTTGTTGTAGATGTCTGCCACAACCACAAAGGCGTTGTAAAGTTCCAACAGCAGGAAAAGACGAAACGAGAACAAAACGAAAGCACACTTTACTGCACTTTCCTTCTGCTTGTGCTACAACTGACATTGCAGATGAACTTGAGTTCCACGTCACTCTAAGAGCCTGTTTACAAAATGCACATTAAAGTATGTCTTCATAAGACTTTTTTAATCAACATGGCTAATGCTTACCTCTACATGATGCTACATCTTTTAAATCATTCTAACCCATTTTTTGTCAACATTTCTTTTTTTTGTTGTTGTTGTTGCATTCCTGTTTACCAGCAGTACAAAAAAATAATAAGTCTGTAATATCGTGTGTAGCTGCAGAGCAACTTGAAGCCACTGCATCCTTTGAAGGAGCAGGAACTACACCCAAAGAACTCTGGGCAACCTCTTCCAGACCCAATTGATCTTATTGTTTTCTCACTGAGGCCCATACCCTCCAAAATATCCCCAACTAACTAACTGCTTGAACKTGTTATCAAAGCAGTTAGTGAGCCAACAGCAGCCCACTTTAATTTTCCTTAATCAGGAGTATTCTGTGATAAATCATCCAGCTGGGTGCTTGGCRCAGCCTGCATGCTGGGCACATTCAGCAAGAAACCAGCAGACAAAAGAAAGSGATCTGCATATGGCTAAATGCATTTAGGCAGCATTCACAAGCGTAACATCCATGTAAAGAAACATGCACAGCATTCATCCACTGCCTCTGGCCCAGCACGTTCTGCACCCACTGAGGCACTTAAACCTCATAGAAAAGCCTTGTTAAGATACAAAGCTCCTACATATACTGCAGCAAATGTAACAAAGTGTCATTCCCTCGTTTTCTTGAAAACGTAAGAATGCCTCAGCTGACGTGGCGCCACTAATGTAGCCGAGGCTACAGCATACAGACAAGTTAATGCATAGCTTTGACATTTCTCAGACCGAAGTGGCTGACAAGTGGTCCAGTTCAAAAATAAAAAAATAAAATAAAATAAAATAAAGCAGCCACCTAGGCCCCATAAACGGGAACATTTTTGAAATGATAAATACTAGTCATTAATCCAAAGGTGAATTTCTGTTAGCGCTCACCATTCATCACCAGAACTTTTTTCCCTTTTTTTCATTTCTAGAAAATCTGTTTCTGTTAACCTTTTAGACCCTATTTCTGTGCAGTGATGGATGAGCTGCTTAATAGCAGCTTCTAGCRCTCTGTAATGAGACAGAAATGAACTTAGGATTAAAGACCAATGGCTAAACAGGTGTATTACCTTAAAAGGCACTAAAACTAATTTTTGAAAGAACTCATGGTAGAAGTTTACTGCATAGACGCAGAGTCTGCGATGAAAAAAAAAACGGGACATAAATTTAGAAAAGTTCCGTCTTAAGAGCAACAATAGAGTTTGTGTCATTTTTATCGTTGAGCTGCAGTGATGTAGTATCTTTCAGGGTGCAAAGACAGACCTAATTTATCTGGTGTGAGGTCTGCAGGCTCATAAAACAAAACTGACACAAATGTGGTTTATCAGTCACAGCCTTGGTGCTCCAGACATTCTGGCATTATTAAAGGAGATTCATTCATCATAATTGCTTTAAATGCCACATAATTATTCAACACGTGCTTATATCCAGAAGAAAAGGGGGTGAAAAAAATCAGGAATTGCTTCATAGAGGGTCACAACAGAGACAGACCGAAGTGAGAGTTGACAGGACTCAAAGGCAACGCTGCCACCACAGATGCCTTATTGCTGCCGTTTCAGATAAGATTCGCGAAGCATGGCCTTTGGCATCACTCAAAATAAATAAATCAGACTGCTTTAAGTTTGTTTCACCTCGCTTTGCAAGGGTTTACTGTCATGTATTTCCCCCCTCAAACTACTCATTGTTTTATCCTAAGACATTCCAGAAACAGCCAGCGGGTTCAACACAAGTACAAGGACAAGTACAGTTCATCCACAGCTGAAACTCAATAGGCCTGTTCTAAAACACGCTAGAATTTGATAGAGGTGAAGAAAAAAGAAAGGAAAAAAAATAGAAAGTGGCAGATGTGATTCGCAAACTAAAGCTCGAGTCTTACAGCAATGTGACTTTGTACTGATTGTTCTCAAACACGCATTTCCACCGTTTCTGAAGTGCACAACATTTAGCAAACTAAACTGAGTGAAGAAAGGCTTCTCGTTTTCTTGACTTTGCGAGCTGCTCTCATTGGGTGAAGTGCTTGTCAACAGAAAGTTAAACAGTCGAGGCTTAGAATAAATGTTCCTCCACGCATCAGAGCCGAGTTGTTTTCCAGGCCGCTCTCAGACTCTCAGAGACCAAATAAAACAGCGAATTGTTAAAGCCAGAGGAATTCAGATTCACTGCAGCAGATGAGATGCAGGAATGCAGCAGGTCTGCACGACTGCACATGCTGCACTTTAAGTAAATGTTCCTGCTTACGTACCATTGACATACAGCTGTAGGTTGTTATTTGACAGAAGAGGCTGTCTTAAAAAAAGAAAAAAAAGAAAATGATGTTGCACATCTGCTATCCTCCACTGTAGGCAGCTCAGTATCCCCCCACAACCAGACCAGAGGGAATTACATTTCACCTTGCAAATATATGAAAGGACAGATCAACCATTTAGTTTGTCTTTGTTAACTTTCTGCCAAGACATTTCTTCTTTTGTCTGTCTGTAAATGTCCATTCAGATGATTCAATCTGTCCTTTCTCCATCACGGCATCCACAAGCTTGTACAGCTTCACCCACCGCTCACTTTTTCCATGAGACACCAACTTACTGTAGCTGGAAACTATAAAAGATTCTGTTATTTTGCGCTCTTGTCTTGCCTTTTTTTGTTTGTTTGTTTTTTTCCCTGCAACAAAACTGTTACATAACGTGTGCCTGAAAACCAACACAGATGTGGTAAAGAAAGATTAAAACACTGTTATTATACAATCAATTGTATTTTTTTTCCTTTGGGAGCACCAAGGATTTGTTCATGTTTCAATTATGTTCCAAACTATGAGCATTTTTGATGATATATAAATTCTTAAGTTTAAATGTAATCTTAATGAACAAAAAAATAATAATTTCCAAAACAACCCTTGGTGCTCCATATGTTGTTTATATGTAAATATCTTCAAATGTAAAATGTGTATTCTGAAATTTAAGGTGGAGTAAAACAATGATATCAGAAATAACTCAAATGTGCATTACTCATTTAAACATTTTTAATATAATTATTAAACGGATACTTACACATATTTGTTTATTGGTAGTACAAATTATGGCACTAACAGCTACCTATTTATTTATTTTTAAATATGATGGTTTTAAAACAGCAGCAATCTACTCTGGTCTTGGACCTGCAGAGACTCGCATTAGTTCCTGGTCAGATATAAACGTTTTCAAACCGAGCTCATTCAAAATGGAATTTAAAACAGGTAAGATGATAATTGTTCATAACCTTGCTACAGAACCCCACCTAAAAGGAGCTGAAATACCCATTTAGGATTATTTATATGTACATACACCATGGTAATATCTTCAAATAATCATCCCTACACTCTACAAAACGCAGCATTCATGGAAAATTTACAGGTGAAATTCAGCTGAAACCTACAGTGGTTTGCAAAAGTATTCATACCCCTTGAACTTTTCCATATTTTGTCACATTACAACCACAAACAAAAATATATTTCACTGGAATTTAATGTGAAAGACCAACACAAAGTGGTATACAATTGTGAAGTGGAAGCAAAATTTTACAT